GCGGCTTGATCAGGCGCGTCGGGCGTTGAGCAGACACGCGGACAGACGCTAGGAACGCGGATGGGCGCTGGCGAGTAGCTGGCGAGTAGCTGGCGTGTTGCGGACGTGCGCTGGGTGCGAGCGAGGACGTCGGGAGCGTTGTGTCGCTGGACTCCTATGCCTGGGCGAACTGGCGCAGGCGTCTGGGAGCACGCAAGCACGCTGAAGCTGTCTCCTGGGCGCTCGGGGAATAGCACGCGAGTGACAGGCAGACGCTGGGATCTCGTGCGGTTGTCGGCTGGCAGCGGGACAAGAATAACGAGCAGATGGGCAGCTCGCGATCGTTGCTGAGCGTCACAAACGAAGCCTGGCGGGCACGACTGCGAGCAGAGGCTTGCGGATGTGCTGGGATGGCCTGGGCTCGGGCAGCGACCGGCGGCGATGGGATTTTCCGGCGACAACTCTCTGCGGCGATTGGCGGCGATGATGTGATGATGATGACCGGAAAATATATGTATATTAGAGTCTCAATATATTGTACCAAAAAGCCTTCTAATGGATTACCTAAACACCTACTTCGATCAAACTTGGTGGAGCATTTAATCGAATTAAGTCTCGAACAAAGATATTTCTCGCGCGTATGTAGAGGAAAAAATCGGCCAACACATCTATGTAGGAGAGATTGGGACATGGTGTATTTATAGGCTCCATTAGGGACCTTAAGGAGGTGCTAAATATGGGCTTGTCCCATATAGGCCTAGGAGTCCTAATTCTACTCCAATACTAATTTAATGTAGGAAGGAGATCTCCTAATCTCCATCTTCTAGAAGACTCCTAAGTCATCTAACACTAGAGGAGATCCTAGTAGGAATATCTTTCCTAATTAAATTAATAATAATGGAATAAAATTAATTCCTAATTTAGGAAGCCTAATTCTACTCCAATTAATTATTTAATGTAGGAAATATATTTTCTACTAATCTCCATCTTCTAGAAGACTCCTTAGTCTCCTAATCCCAAGAGAAGATTCTAGTAGGAATTTTATTCTCCTAATTAAATTAATTAATATGGAATAATATTAATTCTTATTTAAATGGAATTAAATAATAAAACATCCATCTAGAGTAATATTATTGCTCTCCCCATTTAGCCACTATTTTACCAATAAAATTGAGCCTCCATGATTAAATAATATTAATCCGATTGATCGATTTACCTCCCTATGTTTAAGATATAACGTCCGTTGATTAATTAAATTACTGACAAAATAATTAATCAACTTCTCATTCATTTCCGAAATTAGTACCACTCAAATCTTTAACCATTATGTCAGACAATCGTCTATCTGCAGGGTTTAACATAATGTTCCTTCCTGAGCTCATTTCAGGGACGTCATCAATCCAGCGCACTGGAACATAGTGATCGTAAATAATTTATAATAGCACATTATATAATTATTCTGACTTATCAAAATACCTCGCATGTCATCCTAATAAAATAGGAATCACTTGGTAAATCAAATAAATAAGAAACAAAAATATATGCGTATTTTATATTATCTTACAGCTTAAGAGAACGCATCAATCACTGAAGGTCTAGGTTACAACAACGGTCAGTGAGTCTCATATCCTTATCCTTCCGTGGTCCTGTTCAACACTTAACATAAGTGCTAGTGTAATCCTTCAGTCAAAGACTATTTGAATCAAGAATACACTACAGTCTTTTTCCAAGAGGGGTCTCACTGCTTGTCTAGAATGTGAACGAATAGTTTAGTCTTATAAGGAACCGATAGGTGATCTTTCTGTTCGAAACTCTTCGAACCACACTATCTCAATATAAGACATGGAGTATGATTTGCGTAAATAAATAAACTGCAAACATATGTACTTTGACCGAAACATGATGGCCAGATCAAAATGAAATTGATAGAATCTGCAAAACATAGCTTTAACAGCATACCTCTAACAATCTCCCACTTATGCTTTATGAGCTCATGGCTAAACAAAATAACCACAATTTCTTTCAATCTAATTCTCAAAGACTAGTCTACTATGTCACCCTAACATCTAACTCCCATTCCTTCTACGTGTCTTGTAAAGACTTTCGCCAGTAGGCTCTTCAAGAAAGGATCTGCTAGGTTGTCCTCTGATTGTATCTTGGCAACAACAACTTTTCCTCGTCCAACGATTTTTCGTATCAAGTGATACTTGCGCTCTATGTGTTTACTCGCTTTATGAGTCCGTGGCTCCTTCAAATTTGCTACTACTCCGCTGTTATCACAGAACACTGTGATTGCAGCGGGCAAACTCGATACCACATCAAAGTCGAGGAGACAATTCCTGAGCCAGACAGCTTATTTCGCTACCTCTGAGGCTGCTACATACTCAGCCTCCATGGTTGAGTCCGCCACACATTTCTGCTTGACACTCCTCCATACTATGGCTCCTCCTCCTAAAGTAAACACAACCCCTGAGGTTGACTTGCTTTCGTCCCGATCTGTCTGGAAGTCTGAATCGGTGTAACCCAACGGAAGCAATTCATCTGCCTGGTAAATCAACATGTACTCCTTAGTCCTACGTAGGTACTTGAGTATATGATTTACCGCAGACCAATGTTCCGGTCCTGGATTACTCTGATATCTTGGTACCATGCCCACGACATAACAAATATCAGGTCGCGTGCACAACATACCATGCATGAGGCTTCCTACTGCCGATGCATAAGGAACTGCCTTCATGTCCTCTACCTCTTGAGGCATCTTCGGGGACATCCTCTTAGATAGAGGTATTCCGTGCCGAAAGGGTAAATCCCCTTTCTTGGAATCCTGCATGTTGAAACGCTTTAGGATAGTGTCTATGTATGTGGATTGGGATAGGCACAACTTTCTCTTCTCTCGGTCGCGAATGACCTTGATTCCGAGAACATGTCCTACTTCTCCCAAATCCTTCATATCAAACTGCTTGGATAACCATACCTTTATGTCTGATAACATTTTCACATTGTTTCCAATGAGAAGAATATCATCCACGTACACCACAAGAAACACCACCACGTTTCCATCACTTTTCTTGTACACACAGTGCTCATCTGGACATTGGGTAAATCCATACGATTGGACAACCTCGTCAAAACGGATGTTCCAAGACCTCGAAGCCTTCTTCAGCACATAAATGGACCTCTTCAGCTTGCAGACCAGATGCTCTAGGTCCTTTGCAATGAATCCTTCAGGTTGCTGCATATAGATGTCCTCGTCCAAATTCCCGTTAAGGAAAGAGGTCTTAACATCCATTTGCCAAATCTCATAATCCATATGAGCGGCGACAGCCAAGATAATCCCGATGGATTTGAGCATGGCTACCGACGAAAAGGTTTCCTCATAATCGATACCTTCTTTCTGAGTGTACCTTTTCGAAACAAGCCTAGCTTTGTAGGTCTCAACCTTCCCATATGCTCCTCTCTTTCTCTTATAGACCCACTTTCATCTAATTGCGGGAACGCCACTGGGTGGCTCTACAAGATCCCAGACCTGATTAGAGTCCATTGACTCTATTTCAGATTTCATTGCCTTTTGCCAAGACTCTGCGTCCCAATCTTGGAGTGCCTCATTGTATGTCCATGGGTTGGATTCAAGGACGTCCGGGACGACCTCAGAAGACTCTCCCAGACCCATGGACCGTTCGAGCTGCCGGACAACCCTCCCACTTCGACGAGGTACTACCTTCTCAGGTGCATCATAAGCGATACATGTTGCAGTACTTTGTGGCGTAACATCTAGCGCACTCGGTATTGAAGTACTCACTCCCTTTAACTCCTCAAGAACATATATACTACTGGGCTTATGATCTATGACATAGTCTTCTTCCAAGAACCTAGCATTCGTGCTAACGATTACTTTCTGGTCCCCAGGACTATAAAATAGACCACCTTTCGTTTCCTTATGATATCCCACAAACAGCTTTACTTCTTTCTCGGTTCCAAGTTATCAGTATTGGTTCTCAGCACATGTGCTGGATTACCCCAAATCCTGAGATGCCTTAGACTAGGCTTATGCCCAGACCACAACACCAATGGTGTAGACGATACTGATTTAGAAGGTACTCTATTCAGAATGTATACTGTTGTATCTAGGGCATTTCCCCAAAACGAATCTGGTAAACTATTCTAACTCATCATTGCCCTAACCATTTCCATAAGAGTCCTGTTCCTCCGTTCTGCTACGCCATTCTGCTGAGGCATGGCAGGCGTAGTCAGCTGGGACGTCATCCCATTATCCGTCAAGTATCTCCTAAATTCATTCGAGAGATATTCGCCACCACGATCTGATTGTAATGACTTGTTACATTTTACTAACTACTTCTCCACAACTGCCTTATACTCTAAGAACTTCTCAAAGCATTCAGACTTGCGGTGCAGAAGGAAAATGTACCCATATCTCGAGTAATCATCGATAAACATAATGAAGTACTCGAAACCACTTATCGCTTGAACACTCATAGGACCACATAGATCGGAGTGAACTAGCCCTAACACATCTTCGGCTCTATGTCCCTTTGAACTAATAACCCTCTTAGTCATTTTACCTTCCAGGCAAGACTCACAAGTTGGAAAAGCGTCGACTTCTAACGACCCCAAGGGCCCGTCTGCTACCAACCTTTGAATCCTCCTAACGTTAATATGACAAAGTCTTAGATGCCAAAGATATGTTTCGTTCATTTTAGAAGGTTTCTTCCTCTTATTTGGATTAGATGATGAATTAAGTAATTGTTTCTGTTGTAATGGAGATGACTTAGATTCTAGAATGTACAGATTGTCAACTAATGAACCAGAACATATGAACTTTTTGCCAAAACGAATAACAACTTTATTATCAAACGTAGCGGAAAAACCGTTCATAAACAATTTAGAAACTGAAATTAAATTCTTTCTATAACTAAGAACATAAAGACAATCTTTCCAAACTAGAAACCTATCTAAGCCAAAATCTAAATAGACGTCTCCCACTGCAACTGCTGACGCTCTACTAGCATTGCCCAAGTAGATGGTAACTTCTCCTTCCCAAAGTCGCTTGGTTTTGGAACCCCTGCAATGAATTGCAGACATGATCAGTGGCCCCTGTATCTACACACCAGGTATTGGTAGATAACACCGCTAAACATGTTTCAACGACTAAAGCAAAAGGTGTACCTTTGTCGGATTTCCTGGGGAGAGGGCAATTTGCCTTCCAGTGTCTTTTCTGCTGACAATTGTAGCACTTGCCTTTTGGCTTCTTCGCTTTTTGTCGATGTTGCGCGTCACTCATGACCGCCTTGCCCTTTCCTGTAGACTTCTTCATCTTCTTGCCCTTAAGAGCCTTAGAAGTGGAAGCTTCTCCCTGCTGGGCCACCATAGCTTGGTTCTTGTGACGAAACAGGCCCTCTGCCGACTGAAGTTCAGCAACAAGTTCCGGAAGAGTCATCAACATCTTATTCATGTTGTAATTCAACCGGAATTGTTTGAAGCTCTTCGACAAAGATTGGAGCACTATATCGACCTGTGTTTCCCAGTCAATAAAAGCCCCAAGAACCTCCAGCTCATTCAGCTGGGCCATCATAGCAAGAACATGTTCCCTTACGGGAGTGCCCTCGCGCATGGTCATGTTCATCAGAACCCTCATGGCCTCTTGTCGGGCAACCCGCGACTGATGACCAAATAACTCCTTGAGATTGAGAAGCATGTCTGCCGCATTATTCATAGACTGATGTTGATGTTGAAGTACATTTGACAAGAATGCCATGATGTAACACTTCGCCATCTCGTCAGCCGTTTTCCACCGAGCATACTCCTCTTTCTCTTGGTCTGGTGCATTGTCAGCAGGCACAGCCGGACAAGCCTCAACAGTAGCAAGTTTGTACCCTTCAGCAGTTAACATTATATCCAAGTTCCTTTTCCAGTCAATATAATTGGGACTAACAAGTTTGTTTTCTTTGAGAATTATAGAAAACGGATTGAAAGACATTTTGAATTCCTGGGATCATGCAAACATAGTCTTTACTCAGTCAAGTAGTTTTGAATTTATACATCAAATATTGATCCTATGTAACAATATTAAAATAAATTCACCAACACCTCAAAACACCGAATCCCCGTAGGCCAGGGAGTGTGGACGTCTACGGTTCAAACATTCGCAAGGGGAGGGATAAATCACATTAGCTTAACATACTGCCGAGCAATACTTAACTAACAGTCGGTTTCATCTTTTGGCCAGCGCAATTAACTTTATAAAAGAATATAAATGACCTTATCCTATGGGACTATCGTAATTATTTGCACTTTAAGTGTAACCCATTAATTGGTACTAATTTTACTACCAAAATTATACGTCCACCTTTGGGTGACCCGTACGCTTTTGAAATAGCTCACTATAACCATCCCGAAGGAGATTCGTCCTTGTGAACTGTGAAATAAAACGTCCTTTGGGCTCGAATTAAATCACTTCACTGACAAACCTATAATGGAGGCATTGGATGTAATTTATTTCAACCTATTACACACTTAATATAATTTTTATTTTATGGGATTTACTAAAACATGTTTGTATTTGCACATAAGCAATCATAAAAAACATGCATGATTAATGAGCAATAATAAACTAGGAACTATAATCCAACTATCATGGCCATTAATCAATCTCCAATGTTACGGAGAAAACACAGTCATGTCCTTGTTGAGTGTTTTTTCCGTTTCAGGTATTGGAACTCCCCTTTCGCAGTGACTCCCACTGAATTGGTTGTCTCCGGGAAAGTCGTCATTGGATCATCACCATGGCATCCGTGTATGTGTTTATCGCCTCGCCCCGTCAAGGTTGGTCCACGCCCGCCGGATCAATAATGAATAATACAAAACAATTACATAATTCATCCTATGACCCACGCAAGAGCCGTACATGAGTTTCTATGAAAGCACTAAACTATGCGGTGTCTCACCGCGCGAATAATTTATTACAAGCATTCACCAACCCAAAAATTCCTTGACATGTCTAAGTCTTTAAAAACATCATACATTCAACATGAATTAAAATCCATACATACGGGCCACAATAGTCGGATTCGAAACACCTGCAAAAACTTATTGCAATTTCTAAACTACTATGCCGCTGCGTCCGTCCGCACATAATTCATGTAGACAGGCAAAGTCCAAAATCAAACTGTGCACGAGTTTGCATTAAGCCTGGGCTCTGAAACCAGTTGTTGGGTTCTGTGAGGAACTTCAAACAACATGCACAGTATTGAACTTTATCGAAATAAATCCTAACGCAGCGAAATCTATAGTTAGGATATGGACGTTTACCTTTTAAAAATTTTGCCGACTCTGAGACGATGTAGAGTACCGTTGATGAAGTTTGTCTGAACACCAAAATCTAATGGGCGGATAGATTTGGCCTTTAGTCGATTCTAATCGACACGTCAAACGGATCACGATTGCATGGTGGCTCGGTCTCAGCGTCGGGTTGCAGCGGGCGTCGGTCGCGGGTGAGCAGCGGCTCGGTCGGGCGCGTCGGGCACTGAGCAGACATGCGGAGAGATGCTGGGAATACGGACGGGCACTGGCGAGTAGTTGACGTGTTGCAGACGTGTGCTGGGTGCGAGCGAGGACGTCGGGCGCGTTGTGTCGCTGGACTCCTATGCCTGGGCGAACTGGCACTGGCGTCTGGTTACACGCAGGCACGCTGAAGTCGTCTCATGGGCGCTCAAGGAATAGCACGCGAGTGACAGGCGGGCGCTGGGACCTCGTGCGGTTGTCAGTTGGCAGCGGGACAAGAACAGCAAGCAGATGGGAAGCTCGCGATCGTTGCTGGGCGTCACGGACGAAGCCTGGCGGGGCACGACTGCGAGCGGAGGCTTGCGGATGTGCTCGGCTGGGCTCGGGTGGTGATCGGCGGCGATGGGATTTTCCGGCGACAACTCTCGGCGGTGATGGGCAGCGATGATGTGGTGATGATGACCGAAAAATATATGTATATTAGAGGCTCAATATATTGTACCTAAAAGCCTTCTAATGGATTACCTAAACACCTACTTCGATCAAACTTGGTGGAGCGTTTAATCGAATCTCCCTAACTCTCGAACAAATATATTTCTTGCGCGTATGTAGAGGAGAAAATCGGCCAACACATCTATGTGGGAGAGATTGGAACATGGTGTATTTATAGGCTCCATTAGGGACCTTAAGGAGGTGCTAAATATGGGCTTATCCTATTTAGGCCTAGAAATCCTAATTCTACTCCAATACTAATTTAATGTTGGAAGGAGATCTCCTACTAATCTCCATCTTCTAGAAGACTCCTAAGTCTCCTAACACTAGAGGAGATCCTAGTAGGAATATCTTTCCTAATTAAATTAATAATCATGGAATAAAATTAATTCCTAATTTAGAAAGCCTAATTCTACTCCAATTAATTATTTAATGTAGGAAATATATTTCCTACTAATCTCCATTTTCTAGAAGACTCCATAGTCTCCTAATCCCAAGAGAAGATTCTAGTAAATTTTATTCTCCTAATTAAATTAATTAATATGGAATAAAATTAATTCCTATTTGAATGAAATTAAATAATAAAACATCCCACTAGAGTAATATTATTGCTCTTCCCATTTAGCCACTATTTTACCAATAAAATTGAGCCTCCACGATTAAATAATATTAATTTGATTGACCGATTTACCTCCCTATGTTTAAGATATAACACTCGTTGATTAATTAAATTACTGACAAAATAAGTAATCAACTTCTTATATCAACTTCTTATTCATTTCCGAAATTTAGTACCACTCGGATCTTTAACCATTATGTCTGACAATCGTCTACCTACAGGGTTTAACATAATGTTCCTTCATGAGCTCATTTCTGGGACGTCATCAATCCAGCGCACTAGAACATAGTGACCGTAAATAATTTATAATAGCACATCATATAATTATTCTCACTTACCAAAATACCTCGTATGTCATCCTAATAAAATAGGAATCACTTGGTAAATCAAATAAATAAGAAATAAAAATATATGCCTATTTTAAATTATCTTACAGCTTAAGAGAACGCATCAATCACTGAAGGTCTAAGTTACAACAACGGTCAGTGAGTCTCATATTCTTATCCTTCTGTGGTCCTGTTCAAAACTTAACAGAAGTGCTAGTGTAATCCTTCAGTCAAAGACCAACTGAATCAAGAATACACTACAGTCTTTTTCCAAGAGGGGTCTCACTGCCTGTCTAGACTGTGAATGAATAGTTTAGTCTTATAAGGAACCGATAGATAATCTTTCTGTTCGAAACTCTTCGAACTACACTATCTCAATATAAGACATGGAGTATGATTTGCATAAATAAATAAACTGCAAACATATGTACTTTGACCGAAACATGATGGTCAGATCAAAATGGAAATAGAATCTGCAAAACATAGCTTTTACAGCATACCTCTAACAAAATGAATGGGTGGCCCCGATGTCACATAATCCAATACAGGCACCTTGGATATAGAAAGCATTCCAGACATGGTACCTGAGTTGTTTGCCGCCTCATCATGGGTGATAGTGTAGACGTGAGCCAGGCCTCCTGCCCGCTGTCGGAATCGTGGGGGTTTCCTGGGCTGCTGCTGATGAGATGGCGGTGGGAAAAGTTGCTGCTGATGCTGATGAAGGAAAGGATGTTGCTGCTGCTGTTGCCTCTTCGTCTCGGGTCAAACATTGGCATAGTGACCGGGGCGGTTGCAGTTGAAACAGGTTCGCTGATCGGCTAGGCTGTAATATCCCGATATTTTATCGGTATAAATTACGTTTTAGTTCCGATATAATAATGTTAACGTTTATTATTTTCGGAATTAATTATTTTCAGTCAAGATTACCGAAATCAATTTTCGGCGTACCAATTACGTTCGAAATAATTTTGGTAATTAAGTATTATGTTTAATTGAATAATTAAACATGTTAGGTGATTAATTAAGCCAATTAATCACATAATATGTGTTAAGCCGGGAGAATTAGGGCAAATCTCCCCAAAGTGTAGCTAATGGCCGTGAGTTTCCTAAGCTAAGGGAAATGAATTTTTGTCCATTCAAACTATGCCACTTGTCATCTAAAGAAAGATCTTAGTCATCTATAGACTCATGAGGATCAAACAAATATTGAGGCCTTAAATGGCCACGCATCACACTCGTCACCAAGCATTCCCATCGGCTAAGTATATAAGGAAGGGTTTGGACCAAAATTTCCCCATTTTTCCTAAGACTCTTGCAGCATATCAGCCCTCCTTTACGAACAGCACTATACCACCATCTTCAGCAGACAATCTCCTTAATTTTCCATAAAAAACGCACGGCAAGGTTAAGCTATCGCACGACAAGCGCAAAGCAAAGGAAGCACGCCCTAGTTCCGATTTCAGTCGAGTGTTTTGAAGAGGTAATCCCCTCCTCAGTTCATGTTTATGTTGATTATATTATTTTAAGGTTAAGTGTTCAAGTTTTATGTGAGAATTTTAGCAAAACCGTGCCTAAGTCCGAGTCATGCCAAGTAAGATCATTACCGAATAACTTCCGATTTTTCCCAGCAACTCTTGAATTGTTGATGTTAAATATTCAGTTCAGCCTATTTTATGTTCAATAAGATCAGTCTTGTCGGAGAAAAATGAGATTTTGTCGATAAAAGGGCCTAAGCCGTCG